ATCTGAATGTTATAGAATACAGTCAGAATCCTAAATAGATTTGTAACTCACTATGAAGACATGAACGTAGATAAGCTTATTTAAGGAGAAACTTACAATGTAAACAGAATAATTGATATTGTAGTAGCCAGACTTAGGCTTAGTTACAAGTACTTCTGGCAGATTGAGAGACCTGCAGATACTAATCAAAATCCATGTAGCCCTGTGTTCACTTCCACTAATATTATGTGCTTAATTTTCCACTTACTGAGGCATACAGAAACAGTCAATATAATACCCTATGAGATATGTCAATTATCTTATTAATGCAAGCGAGTTACTAGACATGTTAAGTATCCTAAATTTTCGATGCAACAAATACAACATATTGTAGATGTATATCCAGATATATTTCTGTTAACCGTTTTGAGGCCTAGTTCCTAGGCGTCTTATGTATCCACATGCTCTTGTGATACCCTCCACAGGATGGGTATGAAGTGCCCAGTAAACTAGCCACCTCGGCGGCAAAATCTAAAATCATTAAAAGAATTGTGAAGTATTGAACATTAAGTTTATTTTTGTAATGTGTGTTCATACTAGTTAACACGTCATCAGTGCCGCTATAAAAGTTGGTCGCTTACTAGGCAAGAGTGTCTTCACACGTCATTCATCTAGCAAGTGTAACTTGTGCATACAATATTATTTCAGACATCTTATTATTAGAAATCAAGTGATGTACCATTTCTTGTTTCTCTGAATGTTTTGATATTGCCACACTAAATAATATTGTGACGTCATGCTTAACTATTGAGGGTTACTTTACTGTGCGCTTGAGGCTCAACCTGTGAGTGGTAGCGCAAACAGCCAATATTACAGACGTCATAGTAATACAGAGGTCACAGTATTACAGAGGTCACAGTATTACAGAGGTCACAGTATTACAGAGGTCGCAGTATTACAGAGGTCACAGTATTACAGAGGTCACAGTATTACAGAGGTCACAGTATTACAGAGGTCACAGTATTACAGAGGTCACAGTATTACAGAGGTCACAGTATTACAGAGGTCGCAGAATTACAGAGGTCACAGTATTACAGAGGTCACAGTATTACAGAGGTCACAGTATTACAGAGGTCGCAGAATTACAGAGGTCACAGTATTACAGAGGTCACAGTATTACAGAGGTCACAGTATTACAGAGGTCACAGTATTACAGAGGTCACAGTATTACAGAGGTCACAGTATTACAGAGGTCACAGTATTACAGAGGTCACAGTTGGCCTTTGTCAGACTTCCACTGATATGGTTACATATTTTGGATATTAAAATAATTTCACACATTTCACTCTCATTATAAATCAGAATTTGGTTACAGTACCAAAACTTCAAATATTTATCAGAACCTTAACAAAAATTGTTTACTTTCTAGACTAGAAAATCTTATAATAACAGAGACCATGCAAAGTCTGAGTACAGTCTCAAGATATTAGTCACCTTATCTTATCTTATCGTTAACAACGATTTGATATTTTCTTTAGGTTTTGTTTGGACGTGTCTCAATATTTTTTTTAGTGGGTGAGGGTGTGTGTCGTCACACTATCATGTGACGGAGAAATCGCAGTGATACTTATAATCTGGTGTTAGTTCAGCAGTGACGGCGGCACAGACTTGTATTCTCCTCATCTTGTGCCTTTCTTCACAAATATGTTTACACTTTTCATTATTATGGAGAATGAATCTGCTAGTTCTTGTCTGCAGTGCTCAGCTTTCTTTAAACTCGTTTGACAGTTATTTCCACATGTGTGTGTGTGTATGTGTGTGTGTGTGTGCATGTATGTGTGTGTGTGTGTATGTGTGTGCGTGTATGTGTGTGTATGTGTGTGAGTGTGAGTGTGATGTGTGTGTGTGTGTGTGTGTGTGTGTGTGTGTGTGTGTGTGTGTGTGTGTGTGTGTGTGTGTGTGTGTGTGTGCGTGTGTGCGAGTGTAACTTCTCATCTATGCTCCCTCGCTCATATACCTCGCATTTCACTCTATTCCTGTCTGCCTGTCAAATCCTCTTAGTATCTGGTTCATAGTGGTCACGTCTCTCCTTATTCTCTCTTTTCAAGTCGTCAGATTCGATTCATTTAGTTTTTCATAGACGATGCTCCACAGCTGTGGACTAACCTTGCTGCAAGTGTTCGGACCTTGTATAGTTTTCGTACATGCTTCACCAGGTGTGGGCTCCATGCTGGAGCTCTATTATAGTTCTGACATATGTCGCTATAAACTTCTGAGATTAGTTGACCTCACATATGCTGCAGATTTTATACAATTTATGCGCACCTCTGCCGAAATATTGGGTGTCATATTTTTTCTCAAGTGATACTTGTAGTTCATCGCCTCCCAACTTGCATCTGTCTCTGGTCTTCTCTTCCGTTCTCCAATTTCTGTAACCCCTCACTTATTTGGGTTGAACTCTAGTAGCCACTTCCTTGACCACCTTTGCAGTTTGTCTAAATTTTCCCATATGTATCAATATTCTGTCGTTTACGTTTTAATTTTTACACTATCAGCAAGCAATGAAATACAGCAATCAGTACCCCCTGGAGGTCATATACATATATTAGGAACAGTATTGGTCCTAGTGATGATCCTTGGGTACCCAAAACTATATTACTACATCTGCCACATGATAGATCAACCAGACTCTAATGTCTCTACTAGCAGCAACAGCCTGGTTAAACATGCAACCAACAGAATTAACAAATATCTGGCGCCAGGCCGGGCAGTAACGACAGAAAATTTAGGAGACCGGTAACAAGTATATCCGACTCGCTGTTCTTTCCCATATATGTTTAACCTTCGAAGCACTACTTGGTTCTTAGCTTACAGTGTTAAATGCTCTCCTGAAGTTCAAGAATGTACAGTCGACCCAGCCTTGTTTTTCTTGATCACCATTGTTACGCCACTGAATTCCAGTAGGTTAATGAGGCAGGTCTTATTCTCCCTAGATCCATGTTAGCTTATTATAACAAATTCGCTCCTCTCTAGGTGCTCAATATTATTTTCCTGATTATCATCTTCGATACCTTGGGCAGTATACCGAACATGTCAGTGATAGAGGGATACAACTTAGTGCCTCTTCTGTTTCCTGCTTCTACAATGGGATTATATTTGCGGTCTTCCATCTGTCTGGCAGTTCTCCCGTCTCTTGTGATGCAAAGGGTAATGTGGTTGACTAGTGTTTAATGCAACGGATAGAGTGATTAACGAGTGCTTCAAAAACACGTAGAGCGAGAAAGAGACCTCTTTTTATTACGACGTTTCACCTGCGTGTAGGTGAAACGTAGGTGAAATTTTGCTGTCTTTTTAGCCAAACCTCTAGTTGCAAATCTTATACTATAAGAAGACATTTGTTGCGATGCTTAGAGTAGCCAGGATATGTTAGGCTTCATGGCATATAATAAGTTAAATTACTGCCTTCTTGAATATATGAATCATATCCAATGTCTCATGGTTAGTCCTTTTACACCCTCTTCGTGTGTGTGTGTGTGAGAGAGAAAGAGAGAGAGAGAGAGAGAGAGAGAGAGAGAGAGAAAGAAAGTACACAATTATATTTGCGTATGCTAGCACTTATTTGCGTGTATACATAGTCGTGACGACTAATGTATTTATGTTTGCATCAGTGTGTTATATGTGAACAAGCTTAAATCCACCTTACTTCAAGGATTCTACAAGAATACTAACCCTCCATACATGCTCTTCCTGTTGCCTCACCTGGGAACATTTGCAGTGTACGGCTAACCTGTTCTATATAGGATTTACCTGGCTGAAACACTCGCAGTGAGCGGTTACCCTATTCTGTATGATATATAGACACACTGGGAACACTGCCAATGTGGGACTACCCTTTTATATATGAGTTACATAGTGTGAACATCCAATGCTTGCCACTACCCTCTTCTATGTGGTAGTTACACTGTAGCAGCACCTGCAGTGTGCGGCTGTCCTATTCTGTATTGTTGTTACAATGGAAAGAAGAGCTATGTATATTAGATTCTCATATACTATCACAGGATGGGTTACACACACGAGATAATCAAACCTGACAGCCCGAGCTGACGGAGACTCCAGTTACTCTTACATGGGTGTTAATATCTATCAACGCTAGTTTTCCACAATTTCATTAAGCATTTTTGCTTCGTTATTGAATAATTCTCAAAGTCAATAAATTTTCGTATTTTAATTTACCAAGAGAGGAAATCCATGAACTATTTTGTACAAGCGTTATCCAGCAAAGACCATACACAGAGCTATATACAGTGGGACGTGTGTTCCAGTACCAACTATTATATCAAATGCTGCTGTAGACTTCATTTTAACATCTGGAAAATTTGTGGTGTAAATACCGAAATCTTGGTGATTCTTGTAAAAACTTGACTCTGTATATTAAGTCATTATCTATTATATACAGAGCGATCATATGTAATATAATTGGGATTATATGTAATACTTGGATCACAGGGGAACTGTTAGTACTGACTGGCAAGTTTTACGTCCACACTCATTCAGGCTGAGAGAATGTTCTGTTAAAGTATTTTATTTATACACTTCTTCGTTTTCCAAACACATTTTTTTCGTTATATTTTAATGAATATACAAAAACTTTACAAAAATAATTTAATCTCAAGCAATATTTTAGACTTTTACAGTATTAAGTTAGGATGACAATATCTGGCAGCTTTTGAGCTGCGTCATATTATCCTCTCATTTTCACTCTTTACGTCAGGTTTTCATAGTATATCGCAAAGATTCTTTAACAATTAACGAAATATTCCAAAATTAAGTATAACCTTTTTGAGCTGCTTTAATTAAAGCTATATCTTTGTGGCCTTAGGCTATCTATTAAAATTTTTTTAGGTTTGAAGAGAAATTGATTACATATAGATGATACAACATGTAGGTTTACGGGTCATGACGTGTGTTGAGCACAGCGAGACTATATATACCCCTCCAGGACACGCTGCGCGGTGCTAGTATCATCACTTGGTCTTAATCCATTGCGAGGACCACATCTTACACGTGAGTTAGTTCCTGTCATGACTCTTACACGAGGTGGGATCTCTTGGGACCCTTTTGCGCCCTCTTGCTTTACGAATTTACGAATATAATTTATCAACTTCTTAATGTATTTCATGCAAATGTTAATAGAGCGTTTATATTCCACTAAATATATATATATATATATATATATATATATATAATATATATATATATATATATATATATATTATATATATATATATATATATATAATATATATTGGTTATTCAGTGCCTTAAGTCAATTAATTTAACCTAGCTCCCTATGTCTTGGTAATTTCCTTTTCATTTAGTTTATCACCTGGCACCTTATGAACACGTTAAGTAATGTTATCATCCCTTTTCTTTATAATTCGTATGAAAGCAGATTAGCTAAATAAAAAATTTTATCCTATGGAAGGAATTAAAATCCATGCAAGTGGGGAATCCATCTGTGACAATTAGTGTCTTCACCGAGATTTCCACTACATTAAATGCATTGCTCTTCAAGAAACGTTTAAAACTCGAGAAGTTTAAAGCAACTTCTTCTCCCTCTTCCCCTTCCCTCCCATTCGTTGCTGCAGTGGTGATCGCATGTTTTGTCATTAATATTTCCACAAAAGATAACGATACAAGATAAGGACGTTTAGGAATATTAACTATTCCTAGGTAAATATCTCTCGCATGCTTAAATTTAAAAAAATATATCGTCCTAACCCGCACAGTGTCATGTAGGATGTATAACCTTCAAGGAAGAGGCCAACTTTAATGCTGGGAAAGGACTCTTGATCCAAGAAAGTGAAGCAACGATTCAATTTCTTGGATCAAATATCATTCCCCTTAATCCTTTCCATGTTCCCGGCGATAAATAACGTTAACGAGCTTTGCACTTTTCATTAAATTTAATAATAATTATGCTATAGACTAGTCAAGTCAAGAACTTTCAAAAATAAAGCATTAGTAAACAAAATTATAGTTTAAGCGACCTTGCTTGGAATCATGGAACGTTGTATGCAACGTCTGCAAGATGTTGATGAGTGTCATCTAGAGTGTAACATGATATTAGGTTCACCTTGAGTGTAACATGATATTAGGTTCACCTTGAGTGTAACATGATATTAGGTTCATCTTGAGTGTAACATGATATTAGGTTCATCTAGAGTGTAACATGATATCAGGTTCACCTTGAGTGTAACATGATATTAGGTTCATCTAGAGTGTAACATGATATTAGGTTCATCTAGAGTGTAACATGATATCAGGTTCACCTTGAGTGTAACATGATATTAGGTTCATCTAGAGTGTAACATGATATTAGGTTCATCTAGAGTGTAACATGATATTAGGTTCACCTTGAGTGTAACATGATATTAGGTTCATCTTGAGTGTAACATGATATTAGGTTCATCTAGAGTGTAACATGATATCAGGTTCACCTTGAGTGTAACATGATATTAGGTTCATCTAGAGTGTAACATGATATTAGGTTCATCTAGAGTGTAACATGATATCAGGTTCACCTTGAGTGTAACATGATATTAGGTTCATCTAGAGTGTAACATGATATTAGGTTCATCTTGAGTGTAACATGATATTAGGTTCATCTTGAGTGTAACATGATATTAGGTTCACCTTGAGTGTAACATGATATTAGGTTCATCTTGAGTGTAACATGATATTAGGTTCACCTTGAGTGTAACATGATATTAGGTTCACCTTGAGTGTAACATGATATTAGGTTCACCTTGAGTGTAACATGATATTAGGTTCACCTTGAGTGTAACATGATATTAGGTTCACCTTGAGTGTAACATGATATTAGGTTCACCTTGAGTGTAACATGATATTAGGTTCACCTTGAGTGTAACACGATATCAGGTTCATCTAGTGTAACATGATATCAGGTTCATCTAGTGTAACATGATATCAGGTTCATCTAGAGTGTAACATGATATCAGGTTCATCTAGTGTAACATGATATCAGGTTCATCTAGAGTGTAACATGATATCAGGTTCATCTAGTGTAACATGATATCAGGTTCATCTTGAATGTAACATGATATCAGGTTCATCTTGAGTGTAACATGATATTAGGTTCATCTTGAGTGTAACATGATATTAGGTTCACCTTGAGTGTAACATGATATTAGGTTCACCTTGAGTGTAACATGATATTAGGTTCACCTTGAGTGTAACATGATATTAGGTTCACCTTGAGTGTAACATGATATCAGGTTCATCTAGTGTAACATGATATCAGGTTCATCTAGTGTAACATGATATCAGGTTCATCTTGAGTGTAACATGATATCAGGTTCATCTAGTGTAACATGATATCAGGTTCATCTAGTGTAACATGATATCAGGTTCATCTAGTGTAACATGATATCAGGTTCATCTAGAGTGTAACATGATATCAGGTTCATCTAGTGTAACATGATATCAGGTTCATCTAGAGTGTAACATGATATTAGGTTCACCTTGAGTGTAACATGATATTAGGTTCACCTTGAGTGTAACATGATATTAGGTTCACCTTGAGTGTAACATGATATTAGGTTCACCTTGAGTGTAACATGATATCAGGTTCATCTAGTGTAACATGATATCAGGTTCATCTAGTGTAACATGATATCAGGTTCATATTGAGTGTAACATGATATCAGGTTCATCTAGTGTAACATGATATCAGGTTCATCTAGTGTAACATGATATCAGGTTCATCTAGTGTAACATGATATCAGGTTCATCTTGAGTGTAACATGATATCAGGTTCATATTGAGTGTAACATGATGTCAGGTTCATCTTGAGTGTAACATGATGTCAGGTTCATCTAGTGTAACATGATATCAGGTTCATCTTGAGTGTAACATGATGTCAGGTTCATCTAGTGTAACATGATATCAGGTTCATCTAGTGTAACATGATATCAGGTTCATCTAGTGTAACATGATATCAGGTTCATCTTGAGTGTAACATGATATCAGGTCCCAGCAACAATAGTCAAGTAGGTATTGTAAAATAGTTAAATGTGAGATAATTACTGTGGCCCAGTGGCCTGGTGACTAAAGTTCTTGGTTCACAGGGCGGACGTCCGGGTTCGATATCCGGCGAGGGTAGAAACATTGGGCGTGTTTCTTTACACAAGTTGTCTATGTTCACCCATCAGTAAAACGGGTACCTGGGTGTTAGTCGACTGGTGTGAGTCGCATCCTGGGAGAAAACTGACCTAATTTGCGGGAAATGCTCTGCATAACAAGCAGCTTTCTATATATGTAGTAATATGTCATTCATGTCAGCTAGACCTGTATACCTTGTGCATGTACTTGTAGGTATACATATTATTACACTTTCTATTAAATGTAAATTCGACTTGGCGTGTATAAATACGTGTGTGTGTGTTGTGTGTGTGTGTGTGTGTGTGTGTGTGTGTGTGTGTGTGTGTGTGTGTGTGTGTGTGGTGTGTGTGCGCGTGTGTGCATTCGTCTAATTGTACTCCCCTAATTGTGGTTGCAGGGGTCGATTCACAGGTCCTAGCCCCGCCTCTTCTCTAGTCGCTAATAGGTCCATTCTCTCCCTGCTCCATGATCCTTATCATACTTCTTCTTAAAGCGATGTATGGATCCTGCCTCCATTACATCTCACTTCCTAACATTCCTGTGACTCATCCGAGTCTTCAACTTCCAACTGTTACCCCTTGTTGCTGTGTCCCATCTCTGGAACATCCTGTCTCTGTCCACTTTGTCAATTCCTCTCAGAATTTTATGTCTTTATCATATCCCCCCTATCTCTCCTGTCGTCCAGTGTCGTCAGGTCGATTTCCTTTAAACTCTCATCATAGGACATGCTCCTTAGCTCTGGGACTAGTCTCGTTGCAAACCTTTGAACTTTTTCCAATTTCTTGACGTGCTTGACCAGGTGTGAGTTGTAAACTGGTGCTGCATACTCCAGTATGGGCCTGAGGTAAATTATGTACAAATTACTGAACGATTCCCCACTGAGGTTTCGGAATGCTATTCTTAGGTTTGCTAGTAGCTAGTAGCCCGTATGCTGCAGCAATTATTTGGATGATGTGCGCCTCAGGAGATGTGCTCGGTATTATACTCACCCCAAGATCTTTTTCCTTGAGTGAGGTTTGCAGTCTTAGCCCCCCCCCCCACCCCCTAGACTGTACTCTGTCCCCGATCTTCATGACTTTCCGCTTGGTGAGATTAAACCATAAGAGCCAGTTGCTGGACCAGGCTTGCAGTGTGTCTAAGGTCCCTTTGAAATCCTGCCTGCGTGTGTGTGTGTGTGTGTGTGTGTGTGTGTGTGTGTGTGGGGTGTGTGTGTGTGTACAAAAAATAAAATGAAAAAATAGGAAGTGTTTATACGTAATTCCTTACCAGTACCACAACCAGTTATTCTTCAGACAGATAAGTAAAAACTTAACAAATAGAGTTAGTAAGGACAAGAAACCTGCCAGATATGGACAATATTATTGAGCAGCTTTCAATAATCAAAACATTAACAAATAGGCTGCTGACATCACACATTAAAAGTTGTGAATATAAACAGAAATCATCGAGTCACCAATGACTGCATCAAAACTTAACTTGAGCTAATCGTAAGACAATGGAATTATGATGGAACCAGTATCCCAGCTCTGAAGACACCAGTTGTTACGCCTGACTTACCTCTCGCACCTGACTACTTCCTCTGATGAGCCGTGAATAACTGTTTCCTTCTCGAAAGTTTTATCAGCTGAAAAGGACCTAAACGTGAGGCCGAAGTATACAGTGCGATTATTGTTTTGTTTGCTCTATATTGTCGCTGCTTGTGTCACTGATCAGTGAATATTAAAATATATATACATACACACACACTGTGGTTTTATTAGGTACTCCATTCTAGTATTGGGTGGAGACCCTCCTTTGCCCTCAAAACATCCTAAATATTTCGTGGTACGGATTCAACATGGTGCTGGTAGCATCCTTAGAGGTCCTGATTCATCACACTATAAAGTCAACATGATTCACAGCATATTCATACCGCGAATCTCCGGTTCCAAAACATCCCGAAGGTTTACGCCAAATTCCGACCCTTCCATCTGCATATTGCAGTAGAAATTGCTATTTGTTTCACCATTCGAAGTTTTTCCAATCTCGACTGTTCAGTTTTGATGTACCTGTACCGACTATCCTCAGTTTTCTGTTCTTATCTCACAGGACTGGTCCCCGGTGTAGTCTTCTGCTGGTGTATGCAATCCGCTTCAAGTTTCGACGTGTTGTGCGTTCAGAGATGCTCTTCTGTATACCACTGTTGTAACGAATGGCTATTTGAGGTAATGTTGCCTTCCCTGTCAGCTTGAACAGGTTTATACATTCTCCTCTTAAAAATGACTTTATTAATGCATTTTTAACCTACAGAACTGAGGCTCACTGAACGTTTTGTGTCTTTCTCATCATTTTCTGTAAATTCTAGAGACTGTTTTGCATGAAAATTCCAGGAAATCAGCAGTTTCTGAGATACGTAAACCACCCCGTCTGGCACTATCAATTATTCCACGGTGAAAGTCATTTATATAATTAATTAAATTACATTCTTTTTCCATCCTGACGTTTGATCTAAACAACTGTATCTCTTGACTAAGTCGGTATGGTTTTAGGCATTGAGGTTCTGCCAGGAGATTAACTGATTAGATATTTTCATTAACAACCAGGTGTAATATATATATATATATATATATATATATATATATATATATATATATATATATATATAATATATATATATATATATATATATGTATATATGTATTATATATATATATATATATGTCGTGCCGAATAGGCAGAACTTGCGATCTTGGCTTAAATAGCAACGCTCATCTTGCCATATAAGACAAGCAAAAATTTGTGTATGCAATAATTTCGGCAAAATCATTCTGAACCTAACGAAAAAAATATATTTCACTGTGTTTGTTTAGTATTAAATTATTGTAAACAAATCTAAAATATATTTAGTTGGGTTAGGCTAAAATAAATTGTTCTTATTATAATAAGGTTAGGTAAGTTTTCTAAGATTCTTTTGGAGCAAAATTAAAAAAAAATTACATTAACATTAATGGAAAAAATATGTTCTTAAACGTATAAGAGAACATTTTAGAAAGGACTTAATTTTAAATGAGTTCTTGCTAATTGACCAGTTTTACATATTCGGCACGACATATATATATATATATATATATATATATATATATATATATATATATATATATTATTGTGACCACGATCGAATGGTGTTGATCAATAACAATACTGCGCTAGCCAAGGACTCGAACCCATGCTGCTTTGGCCTGCCTCATGGTGGGCGAAAACGCATGAGGCCCTAATCCGTCAAGTGGATTAGGGCGTCATGCGTTTTCGACCACCATGAGGCAGGCCAAAGCAATATATATATGTATGTGTTGTATATAATATATATATATATATATATATATAATATATAATATAATATATATATATATATAAATAATGTGTCTTTGTGTGTGTGTAAGATGGGAAAAAACACACTGCACAAACTTAATACATTGCTATTGAAGACGTATCTGTCCTGGAAAGTCCCACGACAGAAACGACTTCAATACTGGTGTCTTAAGCGCATGCATTCATTTCCCTTTCTTTCGTCTACTTTCCGGCAGTTATTAGCCTTTCTGTTACATGTACATGATTGTTATTCTTTTAATACACACCACCATCGACATTATCCATCGTGTCTTTGCATCCAAGGACCCAGCCGCTGACATAACTGGGGACGATGATGAAAGCGTTACTATTATTAACGCTCTTAGTGGGCTCGGCCCTGCCCGAGCAACAACTGGAAACTAAAGATTTATCGACCCTGGCCGAGCAACAGCTGGAAACTAATGAATTATCGGGCCTGGCCGAGGAACAGCTGGAAACTAAAGACTTATCGGGCCTGGCTGATGAACAGCTGGAAACTAAAGACTTATCGGCCCTGGTTGAGGAACAGGTGGAAACTAAAGACTTTGGTAAGTACATCAAAGTTGATGCATCTGTGAAAGGATGCCATCAGTTTTATAATATTATTGAAATATTTGCTCAAATTGTGACGTAATACTCTATTAAATATGGAATGATTATCATTCGACATTAATCATTATATATAATTGTTTGTTAAGCATTCATTAGTCGTTTTGTTATTGTTTTTTATTATTAATATTATTAAATTTTTGCTCCATTGCCTAAATAGCCACAGAAAGATCTAATATTCCCTTTCTTGCTTCTTCATTCCGTCAACTTTGTTCATTCAGGAAAATCTGCTCTTAAGAAGGTGTTAAAAGCATTATTTGAAGGACCTGGGTTCGCAGCCTTCGAAGTTGCCATTCAGGCGCTGGTCATTATTGCTCTCCTTCATCTCATCCGTAAGTAGCATCCATAAGAATTACTTCTGAGTTTTGGAAATGCATTAGCATTTACATTTTTGTAGTCTATTCAATAGCCATCAATCGTCCTTATTATTATTATCTATAGACGAGAATTTTTCTCGGTGATTTCAACGGGAGGTTAATAAACAATCCAGTGAAGCGTATTGATAATGGGCCAGAACCAGAACGGATAGGGAAATCTTTATTTTCAATTAGTGTTCTAGTTTCACTCACTGAAAGTTCGTAGTTAAAATATCAGCAAATTAAAGTTAATCCATAATTTTAGGGAAAGTTTCATTAATAGACACTAGATACCGCAAAGAAAATTGCAGTTTGGTTTACATAAATTTGATATATCGGTTAAATCTTTTAGCTTCATGTCAAGAAGGTTTGAGTAGAGGCTTGCAGTGTTCTTCATTAATATTTATCTATCCTTCCCACAGTTAATCTTCTGGTAATCATCCTAAAAGACATATTGCCGGTCGTTCAGAGTGTGTTAGAGGAACTGGAAATGGAGGAAGACTCTGGTACTGGAGGTTACGGTGGTACTGGAGGTTACAGTGGTACTGGAGGTTACGGTGGTACTGGAGGTTATAGTAGCTACAACCGGAGAGCCGTCGGTAACCCATCATTCATAAACCTGCCAATTGTGCAGCGTCTTGCATCACGCGTCCACACTGCCATCGAGAAGTTTCAAGCAACTGTAGATAAATGGTGATTAAGTCCTGGGAAGGAGTAGTGATTTTCCAATGAATTTCTTCCCTTCCCATAACTTTTCATCAAAAGAGAGATTCGTTCGCTATATATATATATATATATATATATATATATATATATATATATATATATATATATATATAAAATATATATATATATAATATATATATACATATACATATATATATAATATATATATAAAATAATATATATATATATATATATATATATATATAAAGTGTGTGTGTGTGTGTGTGTGTATAACACTGTGTATGTGTTGCTGGACACAGTTCGACGCTCAGGAGACGTTAGTTCATTTCTCCTCATTCAGTATACGTATGTATCCGCATTTTTAATCTTGACAACCCTTTATTGTTTGTCTTGATAATATCAGATAAGTCTTCAGTGACAAATAGATCAAAATAAATAATATAACTAACATTTGGATGACCTAGACACCGAACAACTTGGCCTTCCATTCATCACATTAACTTTGACACTAAACCTCGTTTCCTCACGAACTTATGAAAGGTTTCACCATTTGACTCAATAATAGTACCACTAAATTTTAGCCATCCTCAGACGAGTCATACTTATACCTTTACAATTTGTGTACGTAATATCAATCCTCTTGGTCAATGCGAATACTGTGATAGTCAGTTGTTCCGCCCCTGTCAGAAAGTGCAACATAAGTTACAAATGAAAGTTGACGAAGGACTTGTAAACATTCTCGACTTGAATAAACTAACATCAGACATGAAGCTCATACCAAATACTCAACATGTTAACTATAAACATAATTATGGATCTCGCTAAATGCTTTTTTCTTTTCTGGGACGATAGGTTGAAAGTAGACACTAAGGTTCATGTTTAATTTGGAGTTACTTATAAGTAGATATTTCTGATATTACTCAATTTTAATTCACATTAAAATTAGATTTGTGAATGAGACTAAAGATCGATGTTTTTCTAGTTTTTGTAAGAGACTTTGACGTTACTTATGTGATTTAACGTTACATTATAATTGAGTAATATTACTCATATTACATACAAGCATCGTAAGACTTACTAATGACTCTCAACACCGTTATTCCCCAAAGGTGAATATTTCATTCTCAATGAACTGTTACGTGTGGCATCGCGATGGGGTGACTTCAGATTCTAAATTTAAAAGTAACATTCAACCTTTACGTGTACTCAAGAGGATTTAAAAACCAAATATACCAACTAACAGATGACTTTTCTCACTTTAAGATTTCCAGAGAACACTGTTAGCTTATTACTTAAGAGGAGATGAGTAAGACAGTGAAGATTTTTACGAGACTTACGTTTTATATAATTAATAGAACCGCGTCATTGTTATTTTTACGAGACTCTTACTTCTTTTATAATTAACAAAATCGCATCAGTGTTGTAGAAATAGGTAGTTTGAATCTTTGTTAGAATGTTTCTTGTTCAGTTGTTAATTAGTTTTAAGTTATTTATTTGTTATCAGACTTGTAAACATTCATCCCCGTGACTTACCTGAACTTCAGGAAGACTGACTCTAGTCAGGTACTGAATAGTCTTCCTTCTTTCATTTTGGCTTCAATGACTGAAGAAAGACATTTTTGACCTCTACTTCCTCGATGACCGACAAGACAACTTTTCCAATATTTGTGTATATACACGTGTACGTGGGCCTCCTCACGTACATAGGTCAACTCGTGTACGTGGGCCTCCTCACGTACATAGGTCAACTCGTGTACGTGGGCCTCCTCACGTACATAGGTCAACTCGTGTACGTGGGCCTCCTCACGTACATAGGTCAACTCGTGTACGTGGGCCTTCTCACGTACATAGGTCAACTCGTGTACATAAACCTTCTCGTGAATATTTCCAGTTTGACTACGTATTCTGACGATATTGTGACCATAAAGTGTATAATAGTGTTATTTAATTTTATTTAAATGGACTGTGTTATTTATTTTATTTATTTGTGTATGTATTGTTTAATAAATAAAATATATATTTAAAATTTACTTTTATTTTTGAAGAATGTTATTTGTCTCATGACCTAGAGAATTGAAGTTACTCTCTCTCTCTCTCTCTCTTTTCTTAGATTAAATCTAATTAAATCTTTCCCAGGTGCTGTATGATCCCTAATGATCTAAAATACCAAACATCTAAAATACCCAATAAATTTAATTGATAAATCTTTTAAAACTGATCGAAATACTTTTTTCAGTTCAAATGGAACAACAAATCTTATTTAACTAAAAATATGTTGGTTCTCCCTTACCATGACAACTTGGTTGACATACCTTCTCTTAAGAATTTTAATATCTAGGTTGTGTTCAAAAATCTTGATACGGTAAAAAAAATACTTTTGATAAAGAATTCCCCCCAAAATGCTGATGGATGTGTCTACAAGATTCCTTGTATAATATGTGATAGCTTATTACGGTCAGTCTGGTAAATATCTTGAACTAAGATTAAACCAACATAAATATAGCATTAGAACTGGACAAGATTCTCATTCTCTGTTAATTCATGTGAGAGATTTTAACCATCTAATTAATTTTCAAAAGACTGAGAAAGTTGTATCTAACAAGCCCAAAGTTGAGAGGGATATAATAGAATCTAGTTTCATTAAAAATACTTTTGAAAATACGAATATTGCTTTTGGTTTATACAAATTGGATTCATTTGTAATCAATAAAATTTGGGGAGAATTTAGAATACATTAGATAATCTAAAAATTTTAATTCTTCGGTAGAATATCAGCTGTTTCACTTACATCATCATAAAAAGTCAGGTGTTGTAAAGTAACTGTGATGTGTTGTCTAGTCTTTATATGCCTTCCTCTTGATCGTTTATTTTTACAGTTCCTTGAAAATGTGAGAAATCAAGAAAGCGATTAGAATTCTACTATCTTTACATATATATTATTAACCATCGGCTGTTACCCACCGAGACAGGGTGATCCAAACAAGAAGAAACACTTTGAGCATTATTCACTCCATTACTCTTGCAAGAGACGTGCTTACACTACGGTTAAAAGAACTGCAACATATCAACACCTCCTTCAGAGTACAGGCACTGTGCTTCCCACCTCCAGCACTCACAACCAGCTAACTGGTTTCCCTGAATCCCTTTATAAATGTTAATTTGCTCACACTCCAAAAGCACGTTAAATCATAAAAACCATTCGTCTCCACTCGCTCCTAACACGCTCACACACTCTTGCTGGAAGACCAAACCCCTCACACACAAAATCTCTATTACCCGCTCCCTCCAGCATTTCTTAGGAGAAAGCCTTCCCCGCCTTTCTTCCACTACAGATTTACATGCCCTCTGAGTCATTCCATTTGTTCCATCCTCTCAAAATGTCCGAACCACCTCAACAACCCCTCCTCTTCACTATGGATAATACTTTTAGAACCCTGCACCTCCTTCTAATCTTCAAGTTATGGATTTTCTGCATTATACTCACACCGCACATTGCCCTCAGACACCACATCTCTACTGCCTCCAGCCTTCTCCATGTTGCAACATTCACCACCTATGCTTCACACCGATATAAGAGCATTGGTACCACTATACTTTCATACTTACCCCTCTTTGCTTCCATAACGTTCTTTGCCTTCATAGACTCCTCATTGCTCCACTCATCTTTTCCCTCTACTCAATTCTGAGTCACCTCATCTTTCATAGACCAATCTGCTGACAAGTCCACTCCCAAATACCTGAATACATTCACTCCCTCAGATCTGACATCCAGTCTTTCATTACCTAATTTGTTTGCTATCCTCATCACCTTTCTTATGCTCACTTTTATTTTCCTTATTTTACATGCCCTACCAAACTCATCCACCAACCTCTGCAACTTTTCATCAGAATCTCCCAAAAGCACATTGTCATCAGCAAAAAGCAACTGTGACAACTCCCATTTTGTGTTAGATAATTTTACTTTTAATCCTACACTCTTGCCAACACCCGAGCATTCATTTCTCTCACAACCCCATCTATAAATATATTCAATAACCATGGTGACATCATACATCCTTGTCTAAGGCCAACTTTTACTGGGAAATAATCTTCTTCTCTCCTACATAGTATAACCTGAGCCTTGCCATCCTCGTAAAAACTTTTCGCTGCTTTCAGTAACCTATCTCCTATTCCATAAATTTGCAACATCTGCCTCATTGCTTTCCTATCCACCCTATCATAGGCCTTCTTCAGATCCTTAAATGGAACGAAAAAGCTCTCTCTACCCTTATCTAAATACTGTTCATCTATATGTTTCACTGTAAACACCTGGTCCACACACCCCCTACCCTTCCTAAAGTCTCCTTGTTCATCTGCTATCCTACTCTCCGTCTTACTCTTAATTCTTTCGATAATAACTCTACTATACACTTTACCAGATATACTCAACAGGCTTTGCCTTTAGACAAAGGAACTATGTATGCTCTTTGTCAGTCCTAAGGTACCTTCCCCATCTCCATACATTCATAAAATAAATGCACCAACCACTCCAAAACTATATTCCCACCTCCATTTAACATTTCTGTCTTTATCCCAATAATCCCAGCTGCTTTACCCCCCTTTCATTCTACCCACTGCCTCACGCACCTCCCCCACAATCTCAAATGACTCTTCCTCACTCCTACAAGATATATATATATTTATATATATATATATATATATATATATATATATATTATATATATATATATATAATATATATATATATATTATGTAAGCTTCAGGAAGAAATCCAAATATTTTTCCTTGAAGCCTTTTTATCCACTTCTCCGAGGCTATGGGTCCCACAATTTACACCAGAGGTGGACCCCATCATATTATATATAATATATATATATATATATATATATATATATATATATATATATATATATATATATTATATATTATATATATATATATATATATATATATATATATATATATATATATATATATATATATATATATATATATATATAAGAGTATATGGAGAAAAAGAGAGAGGTTAAGAGAGTGGTGAAGCAATGTAAAAAGAGAGCAAATGAGAGAGTGGGTGAGATGTTATCAACAAATTTTGTTGAAAATAAGAAAAAGT